AAGTTGGTTGCAAAAGCCATACTATCCCCAGCAAGCTTAGACACCGATAGAGGAACAAATGAGGGCTGAATTAAACGGTGCCTGCGTGCTTCACCATTAACAGTAGAAAAGGCTTCCAACAGTGAAGGCATTGGTATTGCATTCAAGATCTGATACTTTAGTGGTTCAAATTCTGGGCGTAATCCCATCAAAAACTGATCAGTATGCTGACGATCAAGACATTTGACAAGAAGAGAGGCTGCCTAGGGAGCAAATTCACTGAGAGACTCCTATTGAACTAGTTCTTCTCAACGAGATCTCAAATACCCAAAGTAATCAGTTACAGACAAATTCAGGCCTTCCTGCGAGGCCTTAGCAATATCTTGGTATAATTCAAAAATACGAGCATCATTCCTAGAATGAGCATACATTTGATTCAAAGTAGTCCACAAGTTATTAACAGAGTCATAAAACAAGAATATATTATAAATGCGTTCCTCCATAGAATTAAACATCCATCCTAAAATGGTGCAATTGAGCATATTAATACTAATAATACAAACTTAACTCACCTGGCTTATTACGACCTGTTATGTGAATTTGGAACAAGGGGTTGTATATTAATTATTATTACAGACACAAATTTATAATTGAGGTCCATATGAATATTTGTACTTTTTAAGATCATATTTCTCATAAAGTCATGGAGAAAGAATCGGGTGGAGGAAGAATCTGCGGTGGAGGGCAAAAGTCTTGTTTCGGCCAAAAAAATAAAAAATAAAAAAAAAAAAATGAAAAAATGAAAAATTTATTTTAATACTAATACATAAACAATTATCTATCTCTAAACCTCAAATAAAAATAACAAATATCCTTGCTTCTTAGGAAAGAACCAAATGAAGCAAACTAAAGTATATTCAACCTAGTGGTTGACTGTGAGTGCTCCTAATAGTAGTTGGATGTGACAATATCATTCCATTGTTATAACACCCGCAACTTGTAAATTTTAATCATACCACTTGCATTTAAACTTGTCATGAATTACATATTAATTGGAACAGTCTGCTTGCTTATCATCTTGCTTTTAAACATGGAATTCATACTTACTCCTTTCTTAATATATTAAATGTGACTTTTTAATGTTTTAGTATGATAAATATAACTTCACAGATCATGCCATTATTTACTTCATAGGTGGACATTTACGTGATATTCAATTTTTTAATTGTTTTGGAAAGGTTAATTATAACAAGGAGGCATTCGGACAAAACAAGCCCAAACAAACAATGGACAAATGAGCGAGTGTGGCCCAAGAAGCCCAAACCACACCACCACAGCAGCAAACAAAAAATGCCCAAATTATCCTGTGAAGAAGCTCTAGCAGAGCTGAAAGGATTTCTAATCCATCAATCTTGAGGCCGTGGAGGGAGATTTCAATCGAAAAGTATAATAGATGTAATAGTCATTTAATACATTTTAATGTCAAGTTAACACTAATATTATATATAAAATCATAGGAGAATATCCTATTATTTAAACAAGGTAAGTGTAATCAGGCCTTGGGCCTCTGTTCAAGTTTTGGGCTTATATGGTTTTGTAATCTTTGTCCCTATGTGGGTTTGTACATTAATCAATATACTAAAATTACCGTTCCAAAAAATTTTTTTTTAATAAATTCTAAACAAATAAACTACAGTTATTAATGATATATATATATATATATATATATATAGATATATATATAGCAAATTTTATTACATACAGTTATGTTCATTTACAGAAATAAAGCTTTGGAAGTTTTTCTTTTCTATTTTCTTTTCCTTTCAAGTACTAATAAATAAATTGTTTTGGTTTTAATTATTAGTTTGTTTTTAATTTATATCTTCTAAAAGTATAAATTTTATTTGTTTTAATTATTTGTTTGTTTGTATATAATGTTTGTATCTCATGATGCTTTAATTATTAGTTTGTTTCTAATTTATATCTTCTAAAAATATAATAAAATGTTCAGTAAAATTTGACCTAATTTACTCTGTAAAGTGTATGTATTTTATTTTTAAAAGTTTGAGAACATAAAAGACACGTGAGGGTGATGATAGGTGTCACAGGAGTAAATTTTGAACACGAATCTAGTGGCCTGTGGTGGCACTAAGTCAGAAATATGAATAACTTTTCTTTGAATTTCTAACTTAGCTCAGCCAACTCACACTTGTTGCTTAAAATACACAACAAGTAAAACACTCTCACACACAAGTATAGTTGCAAGAATGTAAGGACAATAATACCCACGAATTTACAGAAGCGTAAGGCTTCCAACCTTTTACTATTATTCACAAAACAGTACAAGGAAATGCCTTAACCTGCAGAAGCATACAAGAGTCTCTTACAACACAACTCTGTGTCTCATTCTCAATCTGCCCTCTCTACAGAACCCACATTAGCAATGTATAGGCAAACTCTCAAAACTGCCTACAATTACCCACTAAAGTGGTGGATGATACCCATATCCACCCACAACTACCTACTAAAGTGGTGGATGACACTCCCATCCACCTAGGGTCATGTTGGCACCCTTTGCTCATGCCACTTGTCCACAGGAAGTTACACATTATCTGCCACCTTCTATATATCAGCGTAATGGAAGAAAACCGACTCTAACCACATGTGTGTTGTCCCATCAGATCTGTGCCACATGCATGGGAAGTTACTCAGCACACCCCCTACTCTCCATAATATATGCACACAAGTGGGAAGTGTTAGTAACTTTCCCCAACCAACTGAGCCATGCATGGGAAGTTACTTAGCACACCCCCCACTCCCCATAATATATGTACACAAGTGGGAAGTGTTAATAACTTCCCCCAACCAACTGAGCCCACTTAGCTATCTTCAGTAACCATCAACCATGACTTGTGTGGTCCATACTTTAAGTAACATCTGAGCTAACCTTGTGAACCTAACTCGTACCAAGCCCACTAATCTGTACCCACATATAAATGTCTCTGAGTGCACGGCGTGCCAAGCCATGCACGCCCGTGTGCACGTCCGAGTACACACCCTTAAGTGCGCTACTGCACGCCGGTGCGCACGCTGGTGCTCATCTGCGTGCGCCATACCTGAACGCTTGTGAGCACACGGCTGCACACCCGCGCCCACATCAGGTTGGACGCCTGCCCGCGCACCCGCCAAGCCCTTCGTTAGTTTGGATGCTCTTCTCTTGTGCCCTCTTGTGCATCCATTTTGGAGTGGTGCAACACGTGCCCATGCAAGTTGGCTAAGCCCTTTAAGCAAGCCATGCCATAGCCCAACTGATGTGCTGAACAGACTTTTCTCTAGTATAGTTCTAAGGAAAATCAACACTCTGACAGGAGTAGACATCACCTTTGCTTGAGGAATCATAATGGCCTTTCAGACCCTTCCCGACATCCAAATCGAGTGTCGTCTACGCCAACCATTTTATATGGACTCAAGGTACCTCCCATAAAGATCCCGAGCCAAAACTCCAAACTTCACTTTTTGCCATATTTACGAAAATACCATTGGGCACCCTTAATGCACACTGATAGCATCCCATGGTTGTCAAGGGCTTGTCAAGGTCCAAACCCCGTAACGGTAGGTCACATTATTCACTAATTCTTGAGTCCTTTTTCTCTCCGTGTTCACGAAACACTGCAAAATACCACCAATTACTTGGAGTTTGGAGATGATTGCCCATGCTTCATATAATTTCTTATAGGGTTTCTGTTGTGCTTCTAATCTTCTCATGTAAGTCTCTCTCTCTATATATAACTATGAGCATGAAATTTGGGCAACTTTAATTGGAAAACCCTTTTCATCTAGGTTGTGCATATAATTTGATGAAGCATGTGTATTTCAATAAATAAATATATATATATATATATATATTCCCCTAAATTGCCTGATTATGAGTCTATTTGTGAAGATATGATGAATTTATAACGCTCTGTTTGCTAGGGTTTTGTTTATAATTTCATGAAGCATGTTTAATTAGTTCTTTGTTGTTGTTTGCCTGTGGGTGTATTTGTTGAGATCTGACCTAAGTATAAGGTTCTGCTTGTTTTCGTAGATATATGTTATTAGAAAAAAAAATCTAGGGAAAAACTTATATAATGATGCAAAAAGACCACTGATTCATGAGATTTTGTACACTGATCAAAGCAAATAAGTACTAATGAACACTTTTGATTCATTTATTTACTGAACTTCTGATAACTAAAAATGGGTACTTGGTTTTTTTCTTTTTCCATTTTTTCCTAATGCGGGAGAATACTGTTGTTGTCTTTTTTTAATTTAAAAAAGCAAAATTTGGCACTTTGGTTCGGAGTACATGAGATACAGACATCATATAGCTGAGACGGTGTATCCTTTGTAGTAACTATATATATATATATGTATATATATATATATATTCTCCCAAAATTGCCTGCTTATGAGTCCATTTGTGAAGATATGATGTATTTATATCGCTCTGTTTGATAGGGTTTTGTTTATAATTTGATGGAGCATGTTAAATTAGTTCTTTGTTGTTGTTTGCCTGTGGGTGTATTTGTTGAGATCTGACCTAAATATAAAGTTCTGTTTGTTTTCATAGATAAATAGGGAAAAACTTATATAATGATGCATAAAACCAAAAAGACCACTGGTTCAAGAGATTTTGTACACTGATTAAAGCAAATAAGTACTGAACACTTTTGATTGATTTATTTACTGAACTTCTAATAACTAAAAAGGGATACTTTGTTTTTTTCTTTTTCCATTTTTTTCTAATGAGGGAGAATAATTTTGTTTTCTTTTTTTAATTAAAAAAGCTAACTTTGGTTCAGAGTACATGATATACAGACATTATATAGCTGAGAAGGCGCTAAATCTTGTATCCTTTGTAAACCAAATTTTGGCTTCTGATTTCACAGTCACCGATAACAAGTTTTCACAAAGTAATTGGGATATTTTCATGATGAAAATCACATTCACAAACTAGAAGAAGATAGGGGACCAAAGCCATGGTGAAGAAGGTAGAGAATATGATTCAGTCATCTGAAAGGTCCATGCCTCACCTTCCTTTGGATGTCATTATTGGTATACTCTCAAAACTGCCGTTCAAGTCTCTGTTTCAATTCAGGCGGGTATCCAAGTCATGGCACACTTTAATCTCCAGCTCTCACTTCCATCAATCAATCACAAACGCCAATATTCAAAGACAATATATGGTAATGGTCAATTTAGTCCCCCATCCCGGTCTATACACAGCAAGCCTTGGATCAGCTGATAATGACACTCTAACAGCAGTTACAGCAGTAAAGATTGACATTGTTTTGGGTTATTTTGAGTTAAAGCATCATGTCTGGACCATTATGATTGGTTCTTGTAATGGTTTGTTATGCTTTTTGGCAGAAGATGTCATATATATATTCAATCCCATAACGAGCGAGTGCAAGAAAGTGCCAGATCCGAAATTTGGTGCTGCAGTATATGGATTTGGCTATGATTGCACTGCTGATGATTACAAGTTGGTGTTGGGAAGAAAAAATAATCTCCATCTATATTCACTGAGAAGTGATTCTTGGAAAAAGATTCAAGACTTCCCTTGCAGTTGTAGTAATCATTATGAACTTTATGGTGCACTTTGTGGAGCATCGCTAAATGAAGCCATCCATTGGTTTGGTAGACAGCCAACAGTAATTGTTGCTTTTGGTTTTGCAGATGAGAAATTCTGTGAGATAAGTGTGCCTACTTTTCCTATGTTGGAAATAGTGGCCTAGTTACACACACAACACTATACTATTTGGAAGAGAATAGAAATGGAGGAAAATATTTCTTATTTCACTTGATAGAAAATGAGTACAATGCATGGGTTTATATAGGCTTCAAAACATAAATGTAAATGAAACTTAAAACCCCACTAACATATCATTTAGTAGGCAAAACTCTCACTAACCCACTAACATGACCATTTAGTAGGCAAAACTCCCACTAACCTACTAACATGACCATTTACTAGTTGTAACTTTCATGCCTCTTTATTTTACATAACCTTAACTCCCACTAAGACAATTTACTACCCACTAACATGCTAAATTAACACATGCATCATGGATAACAAATACTTGAAAATACTAAATACTAAAATCAAGTTTATTTTCAACACCCCCCTTTAAACTTGATTTTGTAACTTGAAAAACCTTCTTATTAATCTTGGGGGCTTGATCAAAAGTTCGATAGTTGATTTTCAATTCCACCTCCTTCAATAGCTTCAATCTTCTTGGCCATTTCCATTGATGTGTAAGGCTTGTGAAACTTCTTCAAATGCTTGTTTGATGTATAATCATATATCATCCTCTTTATACAAGCACACCACTGATCTTTTTTCTTCTTAAATTTTTTATTGATCTTCAACTTCACATATACTTCTTCTTTAGAGTCAAAAAATAATTCCATATTCACCCAACCTGTATCAATTACAAAATTCTCCAAACTATTTTTTAAAAAATAATATGAGAATTTCTTATCATCCTGGGCTTCAATCTCATACTTCTTTGGAACAACTTTCTTTAAGAGAAGTTCATCATTCTCCACAAAATAAGCATTATTTGATGAATATGAAGAAATAATAATTTCATCAAATAAGTCAAATATAACTTCTTTCAAGGTGGAATTTGTAACCATACCTGAAGATGTTAATTCACCAACTTGAACTTTTGCCTGTTCTTTAGCACTTCCTTCTTCTAAATCTTCTATTTTCACTTCATCCTCCTTCACTTTTTCAATCTCTTCTTTAACACCTTTTCTTACCTCTTCCTTATTCACCATTTCAAATTCTCCTTCAACTTTTGAATCTCCAAAATCTTCAACTTCTTTTGCACGATACACCTCTTCATTCTCCACAACTTTGTCTTCAAGACTTTCATAATCATCTTTCGTAAACTCATCATTCTCAAAGCATTGTACCCAATACTCCATGGGTAGTGATTCACCTCTATGATTGGAAACGATGGTCTCGAGCATCTTCCAAATACAACTTGGAGTTTTGGACTCTCCAAAATACTCCCAAATTTCTTGATGTATTGCCTTTTGCAACACTACCAATGCCTTATCTTCTTTCTTTTCATGAAGCTTGTTGGACATGCCATTCTTTGGCTCTTCTCCAACAACATCCCACAAATCGCATGCTTTGAGGTATGAAGTCATGATGATTCTCATTCTCTTGTAATTAGAGACCATCATCTTTTCACTAAGAAAATACATTTTCTCCCCTTCATCATCATCAAGGAGAAACATGTTTTTCTCAAATGTTGAACCTTCTAGGATCAACTTCATCTAGCCTTTAGGATCGTCTAGGCTCTGATACCACTTTGTTGGAAATAGTGGCCTAGTTACACACACAACACTATACTATTTGGAAGAGAATAGAAATGGAGGAAAATATTTCTTATTTCACTTGATAGAAAATGAGTACAATGCATGGGTTTATATAGGCTTCAAAACATAAATGTAAATGAAACTTAAAACCCCACTAACATATCATTTAGTAGGCAAAACTCTCACTAACCCACTAACATGACCATTTAGTAGGCAAAACTCCCACTAACCTACTAACATGACCATTTACTAGTTGTAACTTTCATGCCTCTTTATTTTACATAACCTTAACTCCCACTAAGACAATTTACTACCCACTAACATGCTAAATTAACACATGCATCATGGATAACAAATACTTGAAAATACTAAATACTAAAATCAAGTTTATTTTCAACATCCTACTGGTGTTACTAATGATATTGAGGTTGGGGTATTTGGAGGATGTCTTGGTATACTACGACGATGTGGTCATGACTTATGGCTAATGAAGGAATATACGGTGAAGCAATCTTGGAATAGAGTTGAGATTAATGTTCCAATTCAAAGGTACATGAAGCCATTGGCTTTGCTGAAGGAAGATGAAGCTCTCTTAGCGGTAGATGCCAAAAGATTAGTTTTATACAACATAAGAGAGGGAACATACAGGGATCTAGTTATTCGAGGTTCCCAGATCCGACCTGGATTTGTACAGCAAAGACCTATGTGGAGAGCCTCGTATCACCCATCATGAAAGTTTGAGTCAGAGACAAATTAAATCAAGAACAAGTGATAATATTTTGGATTTCATGTAGCAAATGACGGTTTATTATAGGAGTTTTAAATGGTGTTCCTTCTCATCTACATTTCCACTCCTTTCTTTTTGGTTGATTACTTGCACCACCATTCCCTGATGACATAATCTGTAATTTAATTTTATGGTAGTTAAGTTGTGGTTCATTTTCTCATCAAACATATAATCAAAGTTGCTCTCTGACGATTTCCTGCAAGTGACATGGTTTGTCTTGTTTAGTCTTTATGTGATACCAAGCAGGGCTACACACAATTCGGTGGGCTTCGTCCATTTGGGTTTGTATTGATCGAGAGGAGCAGCAGCCATTAATGATTGTTGGTTTCAGTTTGGTGGATGAGGAATTCTGGAAGATTCTGATGACTTTCCAGTTGCCAATGGAATTAGGGGTGTTAAGAGAATGTCTTTGTATGCTAAGTCGTTATAAGGGTGAATTTTGTGTGATGGAGGACTAGGCGTGACCGAGTCCTGGACTGAAGTTGTGATTGAAACTCCATCCTTTGTATGGAGTGATTGGTTTTGTTGAGGGGTGATGAATTAGTGAAGAATTATGAATATTGTTTGTGACAATCCAACAAATTTGTTTTATGGAGCACAAGAAAGAGGACTAGGTGGAGAGTTTCATATCACCCATCATGGGTGTCTGATTTAGAGACAATTTTTAAAAATTTTGGATTATGAATTACTGGATGATAGAACAATCCTAGTTATTCTTTTCTATTGTTGTATTATTATTATTATTATTAATAATTTTCTTCTAATAATTTTTTCCATCTCTGTTTGGGACCTTGCGTTTGAATGATATTTTATAACAAATCAAAATAATAAGAAGGAAAAAACATATACAAGGCTCTAAGAAGGAATACCTCCCTTGATATAGAAGATGAAAAAAATGTGTTAGGGCCAGAAGAATGAACAGAGTGCAAGGCATGTTCCAAATTAAAACCAGCACATTACCATGCATCATGTAAATTGATTCTATTGAGAATCTGTAAAATGGTTTATGGTAGTTAAGTTGTGGTTCATGTCTCATCAGAACACATAGGAAACATGATTTTTCTTGTTCGTGTCTTTTTGTGATAGCAAGCAGGAATGCACACAATTTGGTGGGCTTCGTCCATTTGGTGTTTCACGATAAGAACGAACTGGCTGAGGTATGATCGCCTGAGACCCTGAATAAACTGCTAGCGAGGTTTCGAGTGACTCAACCTGCCAAACTCAAGTGCGGCTTTAGACACATTTCAAGCTCCCTTGAAGTGCTAAGTCAGTCTACCTGAGTTATTGTTGATTGCGGGGCTTAACACTGAGCCCCCATTAGTGATTGTTGGTTGCCGCAATCACTATCGTGTTTTCGCTTTCTCCAAAAAGAGTGTAAATTATCTGTGTTGATCCCCTATCGTGAATGGCATATCGCAGACCATTTAAATAACAAGCAACTTGTTGCATCTCAATTTCCCTCAGGTTGTTCCGAGATGTCAACCGATTGAATTATTCCGTATAGGCATTAACGACTTCCTTTTTCGCTATCCTAATACTTTGGGAATAGAGTCTGCTCATAAAACGTTGCATCTTCTGCTAATAGCGCGTACATGCGCGAGCAACCTAAAGCAAACTAAATATAAAATGAGTGCAATCCGAGTTCGTAAGAAAACTAACTGCAACACGAATCCTTATAACATAAAAAAAATAAAATAAAATAAAAATAAAAATAAAAATAAGGATACTAATACTCGAAAAATAGCCTAAAAATAAAGTTTCTATAAAAATTATGAAAACATAGAGAAAAATACCTAATAAAATAAAATTACTAAATATAAAAAATGAGTGCAATCCAACTTCGTTTAGACAATGAACAAAAATTCTGAAATATTCAACAGGCTTCTATAAGACAGAAAAATCTCGTTTTGAGGCCCTAAACGATGGTTTTTCGTTGAAAAATAGGTTATATCACAGCATAACAGTGATTCTTAGGCCGTTTCCAGTCAAAAAAATTCACCTATCAAGTCAAAAATGCACACTTTGAAATCAACCCAAAAAATCTTTCAGCATGCCCGCAAAGACTTGAATAAGTAGTTGTACATCACTACTAGTTTACTAGAGCTTCTTCACTGGAAAATTTGCTTTTTCTCTAATTTGGCTAATTTTGGTTGCTGCTTTTAAGATATGTGATGGTGTGGCTTGGGCTTCTTGGGCCACAGTCACTCGTTTGTCCATTGTTTGTTTGGGCATGTTTTCTTCGAATGCCCTTCTTGCCGTACATTTTATTATATTTATAGTTTTCTACATTTGATTAACCTTTGAAAAAAAAACATTAAAAAAATGAATATATCACGATAAACCTGCTAAGTAAACAATGGTATCAAAAAAAGATGCATCAACATTGCACTTGATTTTGCCAAAAGGGGGAGGAGACCAAGAAAGATGGGAAACAGAAGGTTTAGGAATCAAATGCACATTCAAACAACACTTCTGCAAATCGAAAAAACTCCCAAAAGCTTTGGACTGCCTTGGAAGCCACAATTGAAGGATTCCAGAAAGCACCCTCAAAAATCAACCTGTTTCGAGCTTTCCATAAAAACCAACAGCAAAAGGAAGCCAAGCTCATCAAAGAAG